CCTTTTACCCTTACTACTTCTGTACTGAATCATGCAAAACAGCCTGGCTTGGGTTTCCTTTTCCATACTTACAATGTAACTCTTTACATTTCCTTCTGTACTTTTGTAGTTAACATTGCTTTCCATCCAACATGTCAGTCTCTTCTTTTTAATTAGGGTAGTGAAACCATTTATCTTTAAGATAATCAATGACATATTAAGGGAAAAGTGTTTGTTCTCTGCTTGCTTCCTCTTTTTATTTTTCCTCCTTTCTTACCTTCCTATTGGTGGTATGAACATATTTTTAAGAGACCAGCTTGGTTTATTGATAGGATATCTCAGTAGAGTTCTTTATATAGTTTCCTTGGTGCTTGTTGTACATATAGTAACATACACCAGTGCTGTCCCTACAATTGACATCTTGCTACTTTGATTAAGGTGCAGGAATAGACAGCTGTCTTTCCTTTGTGTTTTAAACATAACCATCTCAGATCTCATGTGGCATCATAAATTTTGTTTGAACCACCAGGTATGATTTGAAAGACTCCTGTGCAGTAAAGATTGTCTACTTCCTTCTGAACTCAGAAGTCCTCTTCTGTTGTCATTTCCTTGTTGCCTAGAGAACGTACTGCAGCCATTCCTTAGCGGTAGGTACTCTTGCAAGGAATTCATTTTCTTCCTCTCTCAAAGCCTTCATTTCCTTCTCACCCTTGAAGGATGATTTCTGAGGGTGTAGAGCTTGCACTTTAGAGCTCTTTTCTTTCAGCACCGTGAGGTTAGAAATCCCTCACCATTTGAATTTGCCTCTCCTGTTAAGCGATGCCTCATTTCTCTCGGGCTGTTGTAATGGTTTCTCTCTTTCTTGAGCTATAGGAGTGTGAATGCTAACTCTTTGTCCAGCAGACCCCTGCTGCTCTGGCACTGTATCTCTCTTCTTCAGACAATAAATTATATTGCTCTGACCTTGAGTCTACCAACAGAGTTTACCCTCTGCTAATCCCATGTCACCTCCGAGCCCAGTTGGATTTTAGCTTCATTTTTCAATTCTACTATTGCAAATGTTAAAATTCTAACTTCCATTTCTTTGATGGTATTTTCTCTCTTTTCCTCGTTTCAGGGGAATCCACAGTTGCTTCTTGAATCCCTTGATGTCCACTGTCTTGCAATCCTGGCTCTAAGTTTCAACAGTAGAGCCTGCTCTGTGATGTTGGAGTCTGTTTATCATGTCTTTTTGCTCAGGCAGTGATTTTCCTCATTCTTGATAGGATAAGTGATTCTGTGGATATTATGAAGTTCTGCATCTTCTTTAATCTTTTTGTATTTAAAACAGGCAGCGTCCAAGGGCCAGAGGGATGCATATGTTCCATTTCCTTCCTTCCTTTGGGACACATGGCCAAAGCTAGGCCCCAACTTCTCTACCTCCAATCTCCACATTCTGCATCACTGATGCTGGTGATGGCAGGATCTGCTCAGCTCACATAACATCTGGCTAGTATCCTAAAGGAGCCAGAGTCCCCTGCTGCTGCCCTGGGGGAGACAACTTGGAGGAATGACAGCTTCCTACTTGTCCCTTCTGAAACCATGGAAGGCAGGAGTAAAAACTCTGCCTGTCTGGAAAGGGGCAGGCATGCCAGGAGAACCTTATGATGGTAAGCCACACTAACAGAGCCTGCTCTTGGAGCTCTGAGCTGGAGTTCCTGCACTGCTCTGTCTGGATACCAGGAACCGTCTCTGCTGCCCTCAGGTGCTGATGCTCCTGGACTGTTGACCTTCATCCTCTCCATTTTCAGTCCCCTGCATATCTATGACATGCCCAGGATTTATATTTATAATAGGTAGAATCTGATGTGGGGGGAGACACTCTATTTTGTCAGAGCCACCAATAATAAGTGTTTTGGGATTCGTGCACCTGCAGTTTGGCTCCTCCAGTTTAGTAACCACTGTGGTCTATTACAGGAAGTAACATAGTTTCCTGATCGATTGTTTTATTCATAGGCATTTACATTATTCACAGTTATTTCTGTTATAGTGATTGGCTGTATATCTTGATGTAGCCTGTTCTGAATACGCATCAAAAGGATAGTTAATGATTTGTAAACTTCCTTTTGTTCTTTTGTAATGTTTTCTACTGAGTTCCAGAGATCTTTCACTGGAGAAGGTTTTAAGTCTCCTTCTGGGGCTTCAGGGACCTTAAATCTCTAGTCCTGAGCCAGAAGGGAAGTTGGTCCCTGTTCTGTGTTGGACTCTATCTTATTCCTTTCAGGTCTTTGAACATGTATGTGTTGATAACAACTATTTTTATCACTTACTAACTGGACGGGAACTTCTATCCCCCAGTTCTAGGTGTCAAGCAATGTGTCTGTATAATTCCCCCTCCCATCCCCACGCTGCACAAGGACACTTCTGGACTTGGTTACCTTACATAAACCAAACTTAGGATCAAAGATCACCAAGATGGTTCTTTGATCCTCATTAATGTTTTACATCTTCATTTGCTGGTTTATTCTTCAGAGGTTATATCTTCCTTAAAGTCAGCTATGTCTCCTAAATTCCTTCCAATGATGCTTTTATGTATCACTGCTCTGTGTCAGAAGCAGAGGGCAGTTGGGGCAGAAGGGACTCCAGGTAAAGTTGTGGAGTCACCTTTAAAAAGTCCCTACACAGATTCTCTCTTCTGCAATCCCCTCCTTCATTCCGAATGCTGGTAGAACATTGACCAACCCTGTCCTCCCTGTCCACCCTGTCCACCCTTTGGTAGTGCCCAACTTTTCCCACCTTAGAGCCCTCACATGTGATTCTCTGGAGAGTCAACTGAAACGTAACTATTCAAAATCCTCTTTCAAATGCCAGTGTAAATTTATTTGTACCCCTTACTTCAATATAAGCCCCCTATCTGTTTTCTTCACATCCCCCATTGCAAGTTATAGTTACCATATTTTATGCATGGACTTGTTTTACTGTCTCATCCATCGGCACAGGAGCTGTGTGACTGCTGGGTTGTGCCTATCTAGAAAAATCACATCCTGCAAATCTCAAGTGGTGTTTGGTACCTGATAGGTCTGTACTCACTGTACAAGTGCTGACTAAATAACAGAAGACCAGCTTTCATGGTGAAAACCTGTATTTCAACATCATTACTGGTTAATTCGGGTAGAAACATTTTCCACGTAAGGCTTTGTTTTTAATTTGTTTATATGCAAGCTAAAGGAGAAAATACCTGATTTAATGCTTGAACCTGAATATCTTACATGATGAAGTTGGCAAACTGAGTAGTCTGTTCCCTCCCTTCTTGCTTTATGTCTGTTTTGCAGATTCCTGGTTCCACTGATGCTCTGTTACCCTGTCTTCTCCTTCACACAAATACATTATCAAAGAAAACTCACATGAACCCTTCACATTCCACTTTGAGTGAGAACCTAAAATTCCTTGCACTGGATAGCTAGAGGCTAGCTTCCCTACCAAACAGCAAACTGTACCTTTCACATGTGGAGAAATAGGATGAGAGTATTAAAGCACACACATTGCCAGAAAAGGTAATATACAAATCAGTTTTCCTGTTGCTTGGACAAACTACCTGACACTGGCAACTTGGAAGTTAAAGAGAAGTTTATTTAGCTTATGATTTCAGAAGGTCTAGTCCATGGCCAGTGGGCTCCAGGCTAAAGCACCATTGTGGAGCAAACATGCTCACTTGACAGTGACTAGGAAACAATAGAGGGAAAGAACACCAATGAGAGACACACCTTCCTTGGTGACAGCCTCCAACTGGGTTTTGTCCTCTAACTTCATTGTCCTATGAACCAATCACCTCACTAAGAATCTCTTAATATGGTCAAATTGACAACTAAGATTAACCCATAGCTGCCATGGTTGTGCACACCTTTAATCTCAGCAGGCTGAAGCAGCATTGCAAGTGTGAGCCCAACCTGGACGATTTAGGAAGTCAGAGACCCTGTCTCATATTAAAATATTTTAAAGGGGCTAGGGATATAGCACACTGTGAAGAACCTAGATTCAATCTTCGGTACCTCAAAAATTAATAGCAAAGGAAATATACTGACACTCTTAATGGTGAGAATGGCATAATTCATTCTTAACTATCACCCATACCCTGCTTATGGAAAAACACAAGAAAAAGTTATCTAGGCAGGAAAAATGGGGCATTAGAATCATGAAAATCATAATCTGTTAAAGGTTTTCTTTGGTTAAATAGGATGTCAATAAAGCAAAATATTTTGTTCTTTTAGAATGTAGTATCATCGCTTTAGGTTTTAAACAATTCCAAATGGGAAAGCAAAAATACACAATGTTGATTTTCTACTAACATACTTTAATTTGACCTTTCATTGTTTCTAGGACATTTGATTTTTGTTTACTTCCTAGGTAACTACAGTATAATTCAATAATAATTATCAGGGCCTGATTCATCCACTTGCCTTTAAATTCTATGTATGTTGTTTTAAATGATGTTAAATGAATTTTCAACTTTATTTTCTATATCAAGTGATGGGAAATGGTTACCAGAGATTATGGTTCACCCTTGCAAGTTAAAATAATGACCACAAGTCCATTGTGCCACACAAAAATAGACTCAGTGGTGCTGAGGACAGGCGTTTCTCACTCTGGTAATGACACCACGTCCTCTGCAGTGCTATCATGGTTCACAGGGAGTCACCTTGCCTTTGCTTCCTTGGGTCCTCCATGCCCAAGAACATCACTGATCAGTGCACTGGTAGCTCTCATTATAAAAACCAAGGCAGAAACATACAGTCAACTGTTTTCTGAATGCTGGCCTTTCAATTTTAGAACATAAGAAAATAGTATAAAAGCTGACTGTGCAAATACAAATGGAGAGTGAAATTGGTTCTAGAGAGCCTAAATATCACAGTCTCCCTTCCTGCTAGGAATTACCGGCTACTGAACCAATTCCTGTCTATTAACCAGGAGTTGCAAAGTCCAGTTTTTGCAGTTAAGCATTAAAGATCCATCCGACTCTTTCTTTACATAACCATTTTGCTAAATTAAGACAGACCTGCCTGGTTTAACAAGATGAGTTGTGAGAATTCTTCCTACTCACCTTTGGGAGATAATGTGGGGACTGAGAATAACTTGGACCATTCTTCCTATCTTCCAAAGTCCTCCTCAATTTTCAGGACAAAGGTAAATTCACGGCTGCTCACCTGTGGTCTCCCCAAACCCTCAGCAGGGACACTACTCACTGTCATCTGCACAGACAGTTCTGAAAGTTGCTATTGCTAATGTCACAGTAGACATACCCAGTGACACACAACTGAAAGCAGCATTATGAGCAGGAAAACCTGGGATGAAACGTAAGATTTTATTGTGGGACCTGTTATGGGGATGCTAACTTCATATCTTCCTTGTCATTGGTATATAAACTCCCAAGGATTTTCTTCATATACTAACTGATTGAAAAAATGTGTTTTGTGTTCAAATTTAAAATGTATTGCAGTGAAAGACACATTGCCATTCATACCCTTCAAAATACACATTTTTCTTAGTTTGAACACACTTATCCCACTGCTCTTGCCAGTTTCAATAGAAGTTCTAGAAGTCCTCTTTCATGAGCATCTTTATGAGGTATAACAAAGAAGATATGGTGAATGCTGCAGCCTCGTGTCACCCAGAAAGTCAAGGTCCTGAAAACACCACAGGGAGTCCTCCTCCACCTCATTCTTCAGATCTGGTACTGGGGATTTCTGTCTCTTCCCCAAAGTCACAATGTCCTGACAGGTAAGTACTGTGAATTGATTTAGGACATCAAAGCAGGACAGCACAATCAAAGACACAAAAGAGGACTCTAGAAATGCTCAGAAAGTGGCAAGAACACTGGGATGTGTACTTTTTTGTGGAGAGAATGTAATGGCACTTTTACTGTAACACATTTTAAAACGTTAATCACTAATAGTATGCTTCATTGTATTTTTTGTATCTTCTACAAATAACAACAGTATTTATTTAATTTCTATCTTTTGCCTTTTACTTCTTTTGGTTGTCTTAGTTCCTTGGCTAGGATATGTAGCACCAGATCATGTAGAAATGATGATAACCAGTAAAGCTCTGTTATTTTTAATCTGTTTGTCATTTATTTTACCCACACCCCATTACTATTCTTTTTTTCTCTTTGGACAGCTATTTTACTGTTCAAGATGGACTTCTTAGTGAAATGCATTTATTGACTCTGCATGATTGCTTTGGTAAGTATTTGACAATAGTGATTTATATTCTGTTACACATTTCATGCTCTTTCTTACTTTCTCTCCTAACAATGGGTCATCAAATTATGACCCACTGGTCAATTTCAACCTAGCACCTGTTTTTTTAGCCTATCAGCTGAGAATCGTGCTCACATTTGTAATTCGTTTAAAAAACAAAATATTATTTCATGGTATATGAACATTTTATGAAATCTGAATTTTAATCCTTGTAAAGTTTTATTTGAACACGTTTGACCCCATCAGCTTATATACTGTTTATGGCTGCTCTGACACTCTTCTGGCTGTGGATATGCATGGTTGGAGGAAAATCCAGTGGCCTGCAGTCCCCTGAACACAAACCAGTTGGATTTTTTTCCCAAAAGCATCTGTGGTGCCTGACACTTTTATTCTTTACGTTGCTTTCCCTGTTGTGTAGCATGTGATGTGGTCCTCCAAGTCCCCTCATCTGCTCTCGTGGTGTCCAGCTTTCCGACATTGTGGACAATGCTGCAAAACCTTTCTGGTAGCCTTGGAAATAAAGATCGTTACAGTTAGGGAAGAGAAGTCCCACAGCATTTGCTGTATGGAAAAGCTCTGGAACTAGAGAGTATGGATTTGACAAAGCACTGCAAGTGGTCTTTGGGCTACTGAATTTCACACTTTAAAATGATTAAAACAGAAAACTGTGTGCTATGTGTCCTTTATCAGAACGAAGGTAATTAATACCCTAAATTACTTGAAAAATTACTTTTTTGTTAAGTAATGAGTTTTTATTTATCTTACTAATTCTCTAAATCAAGTCCTTCCTAGAGAAAACAAAAGCAAACCAACTTGGATTATTGACATATTAAGGTGCTCCCTCATGAAACTTCAGAATGTAATTTAAGAATCACTAAGCAGAGTTGGATTCCAGCAAGTTTTACCAATATCAATAGAATAAACAAGGGCCCAATGACTTTTTTTTTGTGGCACCAGGAATCAATTCAGGGCCTTATATTAACCAGTTAAGCACTGTGCTGCTGGGCTGTATTTCTAGCTGGACTTTTTATTTTTTACTTTTTTGGTACTGGGAATCACACTCAGGATCTCGTGTTTGCCAGGCAGACACCGTGCTGCTGCGCTATAATCCTAGACCTCCCAATGACTTTTATTCAAAATGTAGTAACTCATTTAACTTTCCTGAAGTATGTGCATATATATAATATATAAGCATATATATAAATGTATGTGTATATGTGTAATATATAAACATATATACATGTGTTTTATTAGGACATGTTTACAGAACATAATAATTACCTTCACTGTGGGGAGTTGGCAAACATACACAGCTCAACTACATTCTTTTTATTTATATAAATCATACATATTATTTATGCAATATATTATTTGTGGCACCTGTTCATGCCTCTGAGATGTTACAGATCTTCCATTTGCATAATGGCAATGACTTTAAGAGAAGCAAACTCTAGAGTGGGGACAGCCAACCCCAAGCCTCTCTCTGTGAGTCAGCACCATTAATGGGCTGTGGTGGGGAGAGAACCAGGTCTCAGCAGGAAGCCATCCCCGCCTGGAAGCCATATCATTTTCATAGTTTTGTTGGGTTGGGTTTTAGTCTCTTTTGTTTTGTTTAATTATGTTAAATCTGATGGCAGGAGCAGCTATTTAAAAGATAGCTAGACATATTACAGTAGCCATTTTGGACTCACTATAGGCTATTTTTGAAATCCTTTATCATACTCATTGTTTTGCTTTTATTCTATTCTGTTGTTTGATTTTTATTATGTCTGAAGGTATCTGTAGCTATTTTGAAGACAACAAACAGCATTACTATTGATTTTGTAAAGTTTTGAATTCCTGTATTCACTTATATAGGTTTATTTTTATTGGTTTTATTCTGTTCTATTTTCTTTGACTTTATCTTCTTTAAAATAATAATAATAATAATAATAATAAAATAAGAGGGTCCCGAGAGAGACAGAGAGAGAAGCAAGCTCAAGATCTGAAGCCTTACACCTGACTAGAGTATGTTTTTGACCATCAGTACATTCTGCTATGAACTCATGGGGAGTCAGTGGAACTGTCTGCTGAAGTGCTCAGGTCTCATGAATGGCTGAATGTCCCAAAATGCAGAGACAGGGAGACAGAGTGGTTGGCCAGGTGTGTGGATGAGGCTGCTCCAAATGTGGGGAGCAGTGTGCTGGGGACACAGAGTTCAGGAAAGGGGAAGGGTCATGGGGCTGTCAAAAGACTACACAGTCGATGGACACAAGGGGCATGGTAGGATGATGGGTGAGAGGATAAAGGAGAAAACAGTGACGACCTTCCATGTCATTATGCTGAATTCAGCCAGCATCTAACATAGTCAGAGAACAAAGAATAAACTTTGTCACGTGACAGTTCTGTGCAGTTCCAGAAATAGTAATTCCATACTTTGAATCAACTAATGTAATCAAATCCAAAGCACCCATTTAACTTGAGGAGTGTCCTCTACTCAGCCAATGCAGTTGGAACAGAGGGCAGTAGAGAGGACACCACCTTGCCTCGATGGCATGGTTCACCTGAGGCGAGGATGTGGGACAGCACTGTTTTGCAGGATCTTCTGACCCAACACCCCTCGCCTCTGTAAATGTCAGAGCAATTCATACCACCTCATGAATAGAGGGCTAAGTTGATTGAGAACACATACCGAATTAAATAGATGTTTTGCTTATGAAATACAAATTCCTTTAGCCACAATATTCACAACAGCTTCTCGGAGCATTTTGAAAATCACTGTGTGTAGGTGGGTGAGCTGCTGGATGGCTCCACCTTCCAAATTATGTGTTCATTATAAAAAAGATCAATCAATCCATAGCCTTTGGGTTTTCCAGCTTACTGACTTAAAAATATTGCTAAAAGAGAGCTGAAAATTCAAATCATTTTAATTGTTTGGAAGAATTCCCTTCAACATGCAAGTCATCAATCCCTAACATGCAACTTCGCAGTGTTTATCTGAGGGAGTGATGGATTTTTGTCATTTGTCTTGTGGACCTTAAATGCTCTGTGCTTATCTCTACTGGGAGGCCCTTCTATCTATTTCCAATAATTATCTAATTTATATAAAACTATAAGGGTAATTTAAGGCTGTGTCTGTTAAGCTTGGTCCCATACTGTGTCTTAGTATAGGGTTCTCCCTAAGAAGAAATTCTAAATTGGGGATTGTTTTCTAGAGCTGGTCAAGTTGGAGATAATCCTGGCCACAACCCTCTGAGATGTAATGGGATTCAGAAGTTTCTCTTCTACAGGAGATTGGCAGCACGTAATATTCAACACTCAAATTCTTCTTGAACATCTAATTTATTTTTAAAATATTTATTAGTACATATAATTTTCAAAATTGCAGGTTTCAATGTGCTGTTTTCATTCATGCATATAACGTATATTGATCATATTCATCCTACCTGATCAATTTCCCTTAGATCGCTCATCCTTATTTCCTTTCTCTTGTTTAACAAGTCTCCATTCTTATTTGATTCACGAGAAAGTTCTTGTTATGGCGGCAACACGTGTATAAGGGAAGCCGGGTGGGCTTCTTGGATGTCACCCAGCCACAGTAGGGGTCTGACTCCAGGGAAGGAGTGAGGACAGGAAGCTATGTCACTGCCAGTGTCTGGGAGTCTTTGCGTCTAGCTGGCTGAGAGGACCTCTGCCACAATATGGGACTGACCAGGAGGAAGGACAGGGCCTGGTATAAAGCAGGTAGTAGAAAGCTCAGGGACAGTTCTGTGCTGATTGTTGGAGCTGCCAGAGCCCAGGGCTACCATGAAAGGAGAGGAAGGGAGGCTGATACAGGGTGTTGCTATCAAGTTTCTGGTGTGAGTAGTGGCTGATCAGAGAGTCAGGGTGGACATGCACCTCCAGGTCACCTCAGCCTCAGGTTGAGAGCTGGGGTATTCACCTGCTAAGTCTCACAGGTCAGTTACCTAGCGGCCAATAGGAACAGGATTCCTCAGCACTTTTAGTCAGCCACACACCCAGACAGAATGCGGGAAAAGCTCAGAATACCAACCTAGAGGCTTGTGCAGTTCATAAGGAGACTATTAGGGACAGAAATGGCCCGTGCCAAGAGGATTTGGAGAAGACACTGGGAGAGTCTGTTGCAAAGAGCCAGACAGACAGTGGCAATCAAGGGGTCCACTTGGTTCTACCTTGGTGTGTGTGTGGGTCCTCCCTCCCACCTCAAGTTCACCCAGAATGAACTTCTAGAGACAGCACAATCAGGACTTGCCATGTGGATGCCTGAACGCAGCCAAAACACTGGGGCTCCATCCATTTTTTTAAAAAAGAGATTAAGACTAGAGGACAAAACAAAGCAGATCAGAAAAAAATAATTTAAGCAACACAGTATTGCACCACAAGACAACTCGATATTAACAGTAGCTACCATAATGTCTCTTTGTTTGAAATAGTTGAGCATACCTTCATATACAGTAGTATCAATCATAACAAAATAGTATAAAACCATTCAAGAGAATGAAAGTATTACAGGGCATTCAGAACCAAATAACAGAAAATGAACAATGGCTACTATATTATCTCATTGTCCATTAAAAATGTGTTTATACTATCACACATAATAAAATCCAGTAAGATACTACATGATAGAACCAATGGAAACAGAAGAACAAAAGCATGGTAGGACTTCAAAGCAAGATGATATTAAATCAGCAATGGCTGCCGCCATAATGTCTTGTTTTCTTCAAAATAGCTGCTCATACCATCACAGATAATAAAATCAAACAAACCAGGATGAAACCATTCCACCTAATGAATGAAAACATTATAAGGCTTCAAAGCACTGTATGGGGAATCATGATTACCATAAAAATCTCATGTACTCTTACCATTTCTTACACTAGGGAGACTATACGATATTTATGCATGTGAATTTGATTTATCTCACTTATGAGTATGGTCTCAAGTTGCATCCATTTATTTATAAATATCGGAATGTGATCATTATTTATAGCTAAGTAGTACTCCATTGTATAAAAAAACCACAACCTTTTTATCTGTTCATCAGTTGATGGACACTTAGGTTGTTTCCAAGATCTGGCTATTACAAATTGTGCTGCTATAAACATGGGTGCATATATATCACTGTGGTATAATGTTTTCAGTTCTTCTGGGAATATGCCTAGAAGTAGAATAGCTGGGTCAAATGGGACTTCCATCCCAGCTTTTTGAGAAATCTCCAGACTGACTTCCACAATGGTTGCACCAGTTTACACTTCCACCAACAGCTCCATCCATTCTTACGGCCAACTTTCCAGCAAGGCATCAAACCTTGGGCAAGTATCCTATCTTTGCAGCCAAAGGGCTGCCTTTATTTCTCTTGATCTCACCACAGATTCTAATAGCCCTTCTTTTTTTCTTTATGGGATGCATTGAGGTAATTATCTACAAGTAATTACTCAGTTATCAACTAAGAGGACTTACCACACCTGAAGCAAGACACTGAGATTCAGGATGGTTAATTCCCCACATAAAGCACAGCTGGCCCTGCAGCCAGGAGCCCAGGAATCCAGGTGGGTTTTATTCTTGAGAGCAGGTGATGGGTACACTGACACATCTCCCATGGGAGAAGAATGGGTCCCGGAGGAGAAGGTGGCTATGGGAGCTCCTGACTGGAGTGCAATGTGTACT